ATGATAGAGGTCTATAAAATAGAGGGCAAATATAGAGGGCAAACAACCCAGGAAACTACAGACCAGTTAGTTTAACTTCTGTGCCAGGGAAGATAATGGAGCAAGTAATTAAGGAAATCATCTGCAAACACTTGGAAGATGGTAAGGTGATAGGGAATAGCCAGCATGGATTTGTAAAGAACAAATCGTGTCAAACCAATCGGATAGCTTTCTTTGATAGGATAACGAGCCTTGTGGATAAGGGAGAAGCTGTGGATGTGGTATACCTAGACTTTAGTAAGGCATTTGATACGGTCTCGCATGATATTCTTATCGATAAACTAGGCAAATACAATTTAGATGGGGCTACTATAAGGTGGGTGCATAACTGGCTGGATAACCATACTCAGAGAGTTGTTATTAATGGTTCCCAATCCTGCTGGAAAGGCATAACAAGTGGGGTTCCGCAGGGGTCTGTTTTGGGACTGGCTCTGTTCAATATCTTCATTAACGACTTAGATATTCGCATAGAAAGTACGCTTACTAAGTTTGCGGATGATACCAAACTGGGAGGGATTGCAACTGCTTTGGAGGACAGGGTCATAATTCAAAATGATCTGGACAAATGGTCTGAGGTAAACAGGATGAAGTTTAACAAAGACAAATACAAAGTGCTCCACTTAGGAAGGAACAATCAGTTTCACACATACAGAATGGGAAGAGACTGTCTAGGAAGGAGTACGGCAGAAAGGGATCTAGAGGTTATAGTTGACCACAAGCTAAATATGAGTCAACAGTGTGATGCTGTTGCAAAAAAAGCAAACATGATTCTGGGATGTATTAACAGGTGTGTTGTGAGCAAGACATGAGAAGTCATTCTTCCGCTCTACTCTGCACTGGTTAGGCCTCAACTGGAGTATTGTGTCCAGTTCTGGGCACCACATTTCAAGAAAGATGTGAAGTAATTGGAGAGGGTCCAGAGAAGAGCAACAAGAATGATTAAAGGTCTTGAGAACATGACCTATGAAGGCAGGCTGAAAGAACTGGGTTTGTTTAGTTTGGAAAAGAGAAGACTGAGAGGGGACATGATAGCAGTTTTCAGGTATCTAAAAGGGTGTCATAAGGAGGAGGGAGAAAACTTGTTCACCTCAGCCTCTAAGGATAGAACAAGAAGCAATGGGCTTAAACTGCAGCAAGGGAGGTTTAGGTTGGATATTAGGAAAAAGTTCCTAACTGTCAGGGTGGTTAAACACTGGAATAAACTGCCTAGGGAGGTTGTGGAATCTCCATCTCTGGAGATATTTAAGAGTAGGTTAGATAAATGTCTATCAGGGATGGTCTAGACAGTATTTGGTCCTGCCAGGAGTGCAGGGGACTGGACTCGATGACCTCTTGAGGTCCCTTCCAGTCCTAGAATCTATGAATAAGTTAAAAGTAAACCATAATTAAGGCTCAGCAAAAATACTGAGAACAAGAGACTGCTCAAATATCTAGACTAGAAATAGAGAAAGAGAAAGAAACCAAAATGTCAAATCAGTAGGGATTACAGTGAAATGATAAAAGGTAATAAAAGAAGCAGAGCAAGTTAATGATAGTCAACAGGATTCAGAGGAATGTGAAATTTAAACAGGGTCATGTAAAACCGTAATTTGGTCTATCTGAGAGCCTAATCATTTTCCTAAGATATGAGGATGTCTTTCCTAAAATATAAATTAGTCCTTAGGAAATTTAGCATCGTAGGTGGATTATTTGGAACTATAAAATAACTCACCATTCTAAGAAGTGTCTCCTCTTCTTTCTGATCTGTTACATAAACAGAAACAAACTCTGGTGGTGGAGGAAATTCTATTGGTGAGAAGTACCCACTAGTCTGTACTCCTTTTGTAGTCTGGATTCCTTTTTTAGTATTCTGGCTAGTGGCTGTAATAAATATATACGAAAACAAAGCAAGTCACATTTTTTTGTGTGTAATTCAAAATATTCCCAAATAAAAAGAATCCCAAAATTAAAAAAAAAAAAAAAATTGTCATCTTTGCTTCTCATGAATTTATACCTAGGAGTTAATAGTATTCCTATAACTTAGAAGAATACATAAAAGTATCCTGATCTACTGAGAATCAGCAGTTTTTTTTTTTTTTTTTTTTTAAATTGTGGCTGATCTCTATTTAAGAAAAAAAGAAAAAGAAAATTCTATATCCATTCTGATGAAATTTTGGAGCAAAAACAATTACTTGAAAGGACAAAAAATAAATCCACACAAAACAAAGTGTTACATGTTTCTGAAAGTATCTTAAAGTCAAAGTACACTGCTACCCCTATATAACGCTGTCCTCGGGAGCCAAAAAAAAAAATCTTACTGCGTTATAGGTGACACCACGTTATATTGAACTTGCTTTGATCCGCTGGAGTGCGCAGCCCTGCTCCCCCGCCCCCGAGCACTGCTTTACCGCATTATATCCGAATTCATGTTATATCGGGTCGTGTTATATCAGGGAAGAGGTGAACTTCATAATTAGGGCCAATGGGAACCTGTGGGAAATATTGCCAAATTCTAAGGAGCTTTCCCGAGATTCTGGGGAAGTGTTTGAAAAAGTCTGAAGATATTTTTAATATATATATCCACATAGTGCGTTATTTAAATCTACTAAATTGTCTAAAAATATCCCCCTTGGATACTTTCCCCCCCACAATCTGCCAATGGTCTAAATTTTGTCTATTTCCCCTCCTTCACAAGTGATCCTTCTAGAGAAACAAAAAGACCAACTTTAATATTATAGGATAGTCTACTGCTAGCATTTTTGAGACTTGCAACCTTGTCTCCGTGGAATGACCTTTCAAATTAACCCAAGTACACTGGATGATGCAGAACAGCAGGATATTTCCATTAAAGGGATCAGCCATGAAATAGTTTAAAGTATTGACATCAAAGCCTGCTTAAAATGCCACAGAAAAGACTGCTTGCCTTACTCCTGGTGAGTAATCTTACTGATTCAGTATGAGTGGATCTGGCCCTATATACACACGTAAAACAAGTTTTCAGTCTGCCCACAGATTCAGGAAGATATCAGTACACTGATTTGCATTTGAAAAATTATCTTCAGTCAGATGGACTATACTACTTTTTTCAATGCATACTTAAATTCTGCTCTACAAACTGGAATTAACAAAAATCCAGAGAAACCCCTAAATCCAGACAGTCATGTGGAATGACAATGGTGCATATTTCCCCAGTGGGTCTAGTTATAATCAAGCTACCTGCTTGATTACTAGTTGTGATTTAATAGCAAACTATTTCTAAACAAAGCCCTTTCCCCCTCCCCTCCATGAACATTTGGGATAAATGTAAACTGCTGAATGAGAGCAGACAGCCCTAGTTGTTTTGTTGGGGTATGGTGGTATGGTTGGGGTATGGTACTATTATTAGGGGGACAGTCAAATAAATATTAAAATGCATGTCATTGGTTGTTTTGACTGCTGTGTTTTACAGAGAGCGAAGAACTCCACAGCCTGGGACAGGACCTGGAAGGGTCAAAATGAAACAAACACTTAATGGCTTGAACACTGAAAAAATAATAGTCTATTTGGTAGTAGCTTTTCTGTTTATATCCTTTTTTTAAAATTACCTTTTTTCCTTTGTGTAACATCTGTGTCTTTTTTAGGTGATGGCTTCAACATACGGTTAGCATATATATTTTTTGCATCAAGTTCTCTCTCTTTTTCCTGATAATGAATGAGGTAGAGACAGAGTTAAATTAAATATAAGTTGATGTAACTTTATTAACAGCCATTGAAATAAATTGTGGCAAGGCTAAGCAACTATGTAGTTTAAAGGAAAATTATATATATTTTGTTCAGTCTTCATTGAATAAGGTCCTTGATTATTCAGCACAATGTTTAAAGAGAATGTTCAATTCTTTAAATCACATTTCTAGTACATGGTTTCCTCCCCTCTCAAAAATCAGCTGATTGCCAAAATACTCTCTCACATTTAGTATTGTATCTTTGAACTTAGCTAAGATAAAACTGAAGATCAAAATTTTCATACAAAGGTGCTTAAAATTTTAGAAATCTAAATTATAGATGCATGTGCCTACCATGTTAATTTTCTGTATTGTACTAAGTAAAAAAAATAAAATAAAATAAAAAAATAACATTAGCATTACTACCTGCTAGTGGACCGGGCAGTAACTCTGACAAGCAGGATCCGCTATATTACAGCTTTGGCAGCATTGTCAGAATTGGCCCTGGGTGTATTGTTGGGAAAGAGAACATGGAAAATGCAAGTACAGTAACTCCTCGCTTAACTTTGTAGTTATGTTCCTGAAAAATGCTATTTTAAGCGAAACGATGTTAAGCGAATCCAATTTCCCCATAAGAATTAATGTAAATGGCAGGGTTAGGTTCCAGGGAAATTTTTTTTCACCAGACAAAAGACTATTTTTTCTATCTATCTATCTATCCCGAGAGCAGCTCCAAGGCAGAGGGCAGGAGCAGCACATGGCAGTGGGGAGAGGGACACCTGAACTGCGGCAATTGATAGCCTGCTGGGTGGCTGCAGCACAGGGAACTTAGAGGAGCAGCGGGGAGCTGATGGGAGGCTGTTGTTCCACCCTGGTTCCAAGCCCCCACCAGCTAGCTCCAACGGGCTGCTCTTTCTGCAAGCAGTGGACAAAGCAGGCAGCTGCCAAACAATGTTATAAGGGAGCATTGCACAACTTTAAACGAGCATGTTCTCTAATTGATCAGCAATGTAACAACGTTAATCGGGATGACTTTAAGTGAGGAGTTACTGTACCATAATTTGTGTGATGGTCAGCCTTGGGGATATAGGCCCTGTTTCAACAAAACAGTTAGTACATGCTTATGTAAGTAAGTATATGAGTAGTCCCTTTGACTTCAGTGCTTAAATATCTTGCTGAACTGGAGCCATAAAGAATATCTTTGGAGCAATGCAGAGATTAAAATTGATGCAGTTGTGAAAAAAATGCCATTTTTTTTGCCTTGAGCCATATACAATACAGGGATATATTCTTCTCACATGGCTCTTACTAAAAAGAACATAGAAATAAATGTTGCCTAACCAGGAATACTGAATTTAGTTAACAAACAGTGCTGGGATTCTTCTGATCATGAATGTATTTTTCAAGGTATCCTAGTCTTCTTGACTAGAAACACTGTCAACTTAAGACCTATTTATTTGAAACTAGCAAGTTTATTTAACTTTACTGGTAGCACTTTAGATTACTGAAAATGAAAGTTTTAAAAATCCTATTTACTTTTCACATCACATGCCAGTTACTTTGAATTTCTCTCAGATTGGGCAGTTAACATTACTTAAATCAATTTCACTTTTATATCCTCCCATGGTGTTCAGCGGTTTAATAACAACTTCTTCCAGTGGAACTAAAAGTCATGGAAACATTTCTATCAACCGTCGGTTTCGTGAAACCTTTTTACACAATCTACATTTTGGTCCAAATCTGAACTGACAGCTTCTCTTTCAGGAAGTACTGACTAAGGTAGTACTAAATAATACCATGCATTATGATTTTTAAAACAATGATTCTCATAGCCTAATTTTAGAACTTGTACGCCTAAAATGAGCAAGTAATTGCTTGTGCAGATAAAGTAACAATGCATGCCAATTGCCAGTGTGCATGTGCAATTACTCAGTCTATGTGCACAGCTACAGTAATTGCATATGCAATTTAGGCATATTAATTGCATGTACTTATTTGCAGGTATAATTTTAAAAACCCAGTCCTTAGTTTTCTGTACAGCTTACAGTTTAGCAGGGATTTCTGATTGTGTACTTGACCTATCCTTTTCCTACCTAATGCAAATAATAAATAAGAATGACTGACATTAACACATTCCCTTTCATACAGGTATTCGAGAATCAGAGTTTAGGAGATTAAATTTAAAAAGAGAGTGAACCCATATGGAGAAAAATGAAGTTAATTTTGCAAGGAATGATTAAAATAAACTTGAAATATTTCAATAATAAAGTACTCCCACAGCTAAAAATGCCTTAAAATGGCTGGATTTTAATATTACAGTACATGATTTTTACCTTTAGCTTTTGATTTAGTTGTTGAAGCTCTTCTTGGAGAGCTTTATTTTCTTCTTGGGCCTCATGTACCTTTTTTTTCGCAGATTGCAATTGTCGCTGGAAACTGCTGTTATTCAGCTCAAGGTTTTTCTCCAAATCCTGCAGTTCATATGATAATAGAATGTTTAAAAAAGCAGCAATCTTTTAAAATAAACAAAATATATAAAAATACTATTTGAGGGTCAAACCTGATTCCGCCTCTAGTGTGGTACATAGGCCATTTGACTTTGTGTCCACAGCAACTTGATCAAATCCAGATGTTAACCAGGGGGGCCAGCCACACCAGGTTTGGTTGGTGCCCAACCTCACCTCACCTACATACAGGGAGATAACTCTGAGGAGGCACTGGGCATTCACAATACCTCCCGGATTCTGTATGCTATTGGACACAGAGGCCATGTGACTCAACAGAGGGCTCTCAAACTGGCATATTAGAAATAAAAGAACATCCCCATGAAAACCTGGGATAAGAATAAGCAGGGGGAGGAGGAGAAGACATCCTCACAATGATTTCTCAACTTTCCTTTAACCATTTTTAGTGAAGGGTTAATTTTGGGGGACCTGTCCTTGTGATAGCTGTTTAACATGAACAGCATATGACAACACTGTGAGGAAGTAGAAAAATATCCAGAGTGCTTTTTAAGAAAAAAAAATCACTTTTATCTCACATGGGATCACAAGTGCTAAAATGCCTTAATTGTAAACCATAGAATTGTCGGACTGGTAGGGACCTCGAGAGGTCATCTTGTCCAGTGCCCTGCACTCAAGGCAGAATTAAGTATTATGTAGACCACCCCGACAGGTGTTTGCAGGGCCGGCTCCAGGCACTAGCCTGGCAAGCAGGTGCTTGGGGCTGTCGCTCCGGAGGGGGGCGGCATGTCCAGCTATTCGGCGGTCATTCGGCGGACGGTCCCTCACTCGTGCTTGGAGCGAAGGACCTCCCGCCGAATTGCCGCTGCAGATTGTGGCTTTTTTTTTGGCTGCTTGGGGCGGCCAAAACCCTGGAGCTGGCCCTGGGTGTTTGTCTAACCTGCTCTTAAAAACCTCTAATGATGGAAATTACACAACCTCCCTAAGCACTGGAATGAATTGCCTAACTACCGTGACAGTTAGGAAGTTTTTCCTAATGTCCAACCTAAACCTCCCTTGCTGCAATTTAAGCCCATTGCTTCTTGTCCTATTCTCAGAGATTAACTAGAAGATTTTTTCTCCCTTCTTGTAACCTTTTCTGTACTTGGAAACTGTTATCATGTCCCCCCTTTCTCTTCTCCAGACTAAACAAACCCAGTTTTTTCAATCTTCCATCACAGGTCAAGTTTAATCATTTGTATTGATCTTTTATCTCTGGACTTTCTCCAATTTGTCCACATCTTTCCTGAAATGTGGTGCCCAGAACTGGAAAATATCTGGTTAGAGTATGGTAATATTACAGTGCAGAACTAATGCTGTTTGGGTTCCCAACTCTACATTTCCATACCTTGACATATTTGGATTTCACTTAAATTTAACCTAAGTCTTGAATTTCCTAGGTTTATAATGCTTGGGATTTTTTTAAAATAATTATACCATCTCTGTAATTTTTTTTACCTTAAATTTCCTATGTAGGCACTCAACCTTAACTCCATCAAATATGAGTATAAATACCAGACAAAAGCAAACACCACACACAATTGCTAGACACTTAAGTTACTCTTATAATGGTACAGGCCCAATATAAAAGTAGTTTTGACTTAAAAAGGGCTTTTTTTTCTTTCCAATGGCTATATAGTTTTGCTGACTAGGATGCAAACATTATGCACAAAATTCCTAAAATAAATACCTACTATACAAGTATCTATACCATGAGATAACTTTGAACAAAATTATGATAATTCTTTGAGGCTGACTCCACAGCCAGCCTATACAGAATAACCAAACATTGCATGGATGCTGAGTTGTATTAGTTTTCAAGAGAATTTGTTTTAAAAATATAATTTATTTTGTAGAACTTCAGCATAATATCCTCTAAAATCCCAGAGGATGCTTCTCTTATACACACTACCTAGTCAAGCAGCATAAACTAGATTATGAAAAATTAAATTAGCTGCATACCTTTCTGGAAGTTATTGCTAAATTGATTAGCATCTAGGTTAAAAATGCCAAGTCTATAATATAAAACACATAAGATAAAACATACCAATAAACAACATTATTAATAAACACATACATACAGTGTACTGCACAGATTGTAAAATGATTGTGCATAGTCATGTACAAACAATTTACGTGGTATTACTTATTTGCAATAGAAACCATTTTCCATTCACCCTACTGCTGTAAAATGGATAATACAAGTTAATGTAAGACGCTCATACTGGAAAGAAGCATTCCTACTCAATTTGTTAAATTAAATTGTTAAATTAAAAAAATGTGGGTGGGGGAGGTGAGGAAAGTTATCTCACCTTAATTCTTTTCTCACTCTCCTCCAGTCTGTTCTCTGCTGAGGCTAGCTTCTTTGCCAGTTCATCTCGTTCAGCTAAGTGCTTATCTTCAGAAAGCTTTTTCAGTTTTTGCAAAGAATTTTTTGTCCTGTACAGTTCATCCTCTGACTCTTTCAGTCTTCTCTCAGTTGTGCGTTCTCTCTCTTGAGATTTTCGTAAGCGCTCCCTTAATATTCTAATCTCATTGTTATGTCGAGCGAGGAGTTGAGAGATTTCATTTTCTGTATCTTCAAACTTATTCAAGGCTTTCTCCTGCCTGTACTGAAGCCTCTTCAGTGCCCTGTTTTCTTTCTGCAGCTCATCTAGTTTGATGTGGAGTTCAGTTACTTCATTCCGAAGCTCATTGATTTTTAGCAGTCTGGCAGAAAGAACCCTTTTTGTAACAAGATCTATATCTTTTGCAGGAGAATCCCTATTGAGGCTCTGGGAGCGAAAACCCCACCTTCTCCCTCTTTTGGCTGGTGCATATTTGGAAACTGGTTTCTTAGTGGCTTAAAAAAAAGCAGATTTTACTGTAAGGAACTCAGCAAAGCCCATTGCTATTTTTTTTTCTATTTAAGCAGGCATCTTCCTTGAAATAAAGCCCTTCTTGCCTGAGAGATTTTTTTACAGTACCTACGTCATGGTGGTTTTCTTTAGAGAAATCAAACACAAAAATGTTTATTCTCATTTTCATCGCTACAAGATAGAGATTTATGCTTATGATACACTGCAAAGCTGTTATATACTTTGATTTTCTTCTTACTCTGACTTTGAAACCAATTATGCCGCTTGCAACCATCAGAATGAAATGATAAAGTAATCATCTGTAGTAGTTATATTTTTGTTCATTAATTTCAGATTTCATTATAAGTGTTTTAAATAGAAATACTGTATCTCTGTACACATTTAAAATGGTGATCACCAGAGCTTCAGCTAGTTTTGTAGCAAGCATGCTGCAATTTTATTAGATACATTCAAAAGTACATATATAGTATTTCTGGAAACCTGCTACTGTACTTGCTATAAAGACGATGACAACAATGGGTTCATTGCAGTTAGAAACAAAGTTCTAAACCCTATGAAAATTTGTTCTTCCCTGATAAATTTTAGTTCTGTCACATGTTATTTTCCAAGGAGCATCCTCATTTTAGTATTAATAGATACTAATCCCAATTAATTTGAAATATTATTTGTATGTGTTTCATATATACACAACATACAGATACTATTTTAAAGTGATTTGGGATTAGTGTAGGTATATATATAATTTTAATATATAAAAATACAATTAGTATATTTATACAAACACACACACACACATATAAATAAAAGCTTAGCTTTGGTCTTTTTGCATAGCTCAAACCATAATCATACTGCATAAGGCAAATAACCCATAGAAAAATTGTCATTTAGAGAACTGAACATATGCAGTTATTTCTGAACTAATGCAGAATAGCCTTTAGAAGCAACATATCGGATGCCATCCTACACCTGCCATTGCAGCTTCTGAATCATGAGACTGGTATACAACAGAAACACACTACAGTACACAAATCAGGTATTAGCTAAGAGGGAGCATGCACTATCTCCTCTATTTTCCCTTTTGGCACTTACTGTATCTCCTCTATTCTACAGACAGCATTCAATGGCAAAACAGCAGCTTTTAAATCTTTTCTTAGTTTCCCCTAAGCATTTCACACACACACACTCATCCAATAATATTTCTATCTGATACTCAGTTTTCCATAGCTTGATCATATACAATACTCAGTTTTCCTTTCAGATAGAGAGGATTTGGCACATTACATTCAGTTATGAAAGGGTTAGGTAATAATTATACCACAGGGCTACCCCCGCTGCTTCAACCTATTTAATGGGTTCAGATAAATCTACCAATATAGATTTTATTTTCCAATACATATCAAGCACTCCAGAGTCTCACATATGGTTTTGCACTTTTGACCATCTGTATAAATCTGGGAACGAAAGGTTGGTGTGGTGATCCTGCCATTTCTGAAAGACACTTGACATGTATGCCTTCATGTCAACAGATACAATCAGTTTTTGCCACAAAACCTGAACAACCACCCTCTTTCCTCCACAACACATTGCAACAAAACCATGGCAATTTTGTTTCCCAGAGACCTACATGTGAAGCTAACATACAAACAGGCAGGGGGACTTGACACTCCTTAGCTCAGCTGAATTGAGCACCATGTCAGCACCAAATAGGTCAACAAAGAAAGAGGGGTTAAGGCCATGATCCATGGCATTTCATTGATTTGAGGCCTCATTATGATCTAGTCAGACCTCTTGCATAACAAAGGTCACAGAATTTCACCGAGTGATTCCTGCATCAAGCGCATTGTGACAAACACTGTACCACATGCACTATATTTGGGGACTATTTAAGAATGTTATCTGTATCTTTGTGATACTATTGTATCACTCTGATAAAAAATTATCTGCGAAAGCAAGGAACTAAAAATCAGTGTGTGTGGGAGTGATTACTACAAATCCTGGGACAAGTAAACAACTTGAAAGAAGGACCACAGCTAGGGAAAATTGAGATTTTGATCCAATCAACAGACATGAACCTTTGTCCAAACCGTACTGAAAGGTTGGAGAGACAAGGGTCTGTACATGACTGAGGCAGGCTTAAGTATGTGTTTAGACCTTTTATTTTTTGTGTTTTCTCTGCATTGCTTTTGTCCTTAAATAAAAGTACTTTGCTTTGGAAGAGTTTCATTATTTGCAACCACTTGCATACACTGTCCATAGCCCCTTTGAGAGAAAGCAAAGCACAGGTGCTGGATTCCAGTCAGGCCTGCGGGAATAATCACAGTGAAGTGCAGGGGGTTGCAGCCTAAAACCCCAGTCAGAAGGGAGAGGGATGCAGGTCTCTGCCCAGAGAGACATGAAGGCGAGTCCTGAGACTTAAGAGGGCACTCCTTGAGCAGACCAGAGGGGTCAAAGAAACTGTGAGACTCATAACTTCTGGTTGAAATAGAGTATATCTTTTAGAAAGACAGGATAAATTATAACTCAAACTGGAAGTTGTGTGCGATGGCTCAGTATAAGCAGCCAAAACTCAGTATAGAGGCTGTTCAGTCATTGTCCACCTTAGGAGCCCAGAGCTAGTCTCTTCTCACTGCTTGCTGGATGGGGAGTAGGGTGACCAGATGTCCCAATTTTATAGGGACGGTCCCGATTTTTGGGGTCTTTTTCTTATATAGGCTCCTATTACCGACCATCTGTTCCGATTTTTCACACCTGCTGTCTGGTCACCCTAGTGGGGAGTAAGTTCCATTACCTCCACAATCCCAGTCAGCAAAGCAGTTTACCCAGGGGATTGAGGTGGGGGTGTGTTGGTAAGGGAGATGGGAGTGGAATGAATTTTAACTTTGGAGAATAATCAATTAAAGCACTTTTGTTTTTGAAGCTCCAAGGATGGAAATATGAATATTTCTTTTGAGAAAGAACACACTATATATAACTACAGTGGAAAGTCTAGTAAAACAGATATCCACAACAAAGATCTTTGGGACATTTTGTCTAAGAAATTATAAATATTCTTCCCTGGATTTAAGTATTATATATACACTGTATAACAAGGGTTTGCTTCAAGAAATCCAATGACAACCTTTGGAAAATAAGCAGATCTTAAGTTCTGTTGCAATTAGAGGATGGGACCAGGGCAGAATTCACTTGTCTTTTTATTTCTTGTCAAAAATAATAATAATAATAATAATCTAAAATTAAGTTTAGCAGAATGTTATAGACAAAGGCTCATTTCAGTTATCAAAATAAAAGTTACAGACCACTTACCAAACATAAAATAATTTATATTTTCTTCCCTCAAAGTTTAAAATACAGCTGACACTAGCAGACTCTTTCAGGATGCCATGTTTTGTGATCTGCTTACCTTGGTAATGCACAAGGCTACTCAAAGTCTCTGTTTTGTGATCTTTTTTCCCATGGCTTGTAGACTGAGAGCTTAGTGTAAGTGATCGGTCAGAGACATGAGATGCATTATCTTCATCTGAATAGTAGGAGTTGCTATTTTTATCACCATCCGATGTTCTGTCATGGTCAGAATCCAAGCTCCTTGTTCTTTCTCCCATTTCTCAAATCACAGTTGTTCTTCAGATTTTTCTCAAAGAATGTTCATTTTGGCAGGCAAGAACTTTTTAGTAGTTAGAGGTAAAACTGTTGACTCCTTTCCAAATCTTTTTTATCCTCATGTTCAGAACATGAGCTCTTGGCATTCATTTTAGCAAGCAGGGGCCATCATTCATAATGCATTTTTTCTACAACAATTAAAAAAAAAGAACTGAGAATATTTTAGTGGTTCAGCTTTTAGATTTCACACAGAAAACCTCCCAAAAAGGGCAAGATAATTCAGGATTCCCACGGTCTCATGCCAAACATGTCTGTGTATCAGCCTCATCAATTATGTCAACAGGAATAGGTATCACTCTGGGAATTGCTCAATAGCCTTTTGGGGTATTGCACACAAAAACACCATTCCCCACCACCCAAAACAATGAAATGGTGGATTTAAGAATTTCAGCATTCCACACTATAAAAAGTTATAAAGAGGTAATATTTGGACCACAAAACTGATGACAGAATTCTTAAAATTTAGACCCAGAGTTGAGGATCACAGGCTTTGGGGCATTTTGTTTTCATAGTAACACTCTGCAAGACTAATGCCAGACACAAAAATTAAAGAGGAGACCCTCTGTAAACAGTTGATGACCAGTAAATGCCGACCTAGGCCTGAAGAGTTCTAGGCACAGCAAAGGACAGACAGACATGAAACACAAGGAAGTGGTTGTTATCCCAGCTAGTAACGGTGCTGATGGAAAATCAGCAGCCTTGACCCCCAAGCCCGTCCCTCCCCTCAAGCCCCCTTACCCCTCCTCCCCACTCCCAGCCCCCTCTCCTCAAGCACCCTCCCAAAACCCACTCCCAACCCCTCCCTCTTCCCCTCAAGCTCCCTCCCCCACACTCCCTCCACCCCACTCCCAGCCCTTCCCATCCCCCACACCCCATTCGCCGACCCCCTCCCGCTCCACACTCCCAGCCCCACCCCTATGACCCCCCCAATCCCAGCCCCCGCCCCTTGCAAGGAAGCCGGGTCCATACGAGGCTCTGCCCAGCCCCCGCCCGGTACCTAGTGCCGCCGGCTCCACGCCGCATCCCCTCCCAAGCCGACCCCCCCAGGCGGTTGGCGGGCCTGGCCTGCGCTTAAAGGGGCCGCCGCCCGTCTCGGGATATTTACAGCGGGTTCCAGGGCAACGGGGCAAGGAGGGAGGCGGGGAATGGGCGGGGCGGGCAGCGGGATATGAAGCTACCCATTGATTGCCCGTCCTGCCAAATCAACAGTGCGGAGCTAGTCCCTGCTCCTGATTGGCTTCGGGGCGAGTGGAAGGCGCCCTTCCTATTGGCCGGGGGTTTGTGGAGGCTGCGCAAGCGGGGCTGCTGATTGGCTATTGTGCAAGAGCCTCGAAGTGTGAACTCTGGCCTTAATGGGAGGGGGAAGAAAAGTGCGCATGGCCAGGGTGGGGAAGCTGGGGCCGTGCCGGGACCAGGAGTCGAGTGCGACCCGCCGCGCCGAGTCCTGGAGGCCCCCTGCCAGTCTTGCCCCGCTGCACCATAGCTACAGCAGCTCTCCCCCCCGGACGCTGTGGGGCCCCCCCGCAGACAAGCCAGATTGACAGCCCTGATCCACCAGTACAACTTTTGTGGAGACCTGCCCAGTGTGATCAGCCCCCGCCTGGCCTGCAGACCGCCCCCTCTGGGATAAAAGCCTAACACCTACCCTGCACTCAGTCTTCCCGTATATTAAGTGAATATCTGTCCCTTATTTGATGTCCAGGTTCCTGCACTATGTCACACGGGCCCTTCACCACAAAAGCACTAAGGCTCAGATGCTCAGGTTCGTACTTAGGTGCTTTAAACTTTAAACTCCCACTTAGGCACCTAAAAACCTTCCAGGAGCTGGACCTAAAATACCAAAAACTAAATCAAAACAAAAACATAGTACCCCCTCCCCATATAACTCACAGACCTCTGATACTAATCTCCAGGTCATTGTTGTGAAGCAACTCCCTCCAAAACTCAAAATGTCACATGGACATCTAAAAACAACACAAAAGTTAGAGAACAGATAAAGCACATTTACAAGTTTAACAGCTGCAGTTTAATCTTTCAATTGCAGTGAGCTGGGCAGCCAGAGAACAGCGGCTGTTGGCTGGGCGCCCAGCTATGAAGGCAGTGCCCCCCCCCCCCCAGCAGCAGCGCAGAAGTAAGGGTGGCAATACCATACCATGCCACCCTTACTTCTGCGCTGCTGCCTGCAGAGCTGGGCCCTCAGTCAGCAGCCGCCACTCTCCGGCCGCCCATCTTGGAAGGCAGCAGCGCAGAAGTAAGGGTGGCATGGTCTGGCCCCAGCCCAGACGTGGACCTGGCCGAGCGGCTCTGGCCCGGCTCAGCTCGGGTCCTGCGGCGCCGGGCTCGGGCCCGCTGAGCGGCGCCGGACCCAGAACCGGCCAAGCAGCTCCGGTCCAGCTCGGGCCCCGCGGTGCCGGCCCTGGCCAAGTGGCACCGGCCCGGCCCGAGAGGCTCCGGCCCGGCCCTGGCCCAGCCGGCTCAGACCCGGACCCGGCCCGGACCCAGACCCAGGCCCAGGCTGAGCGGGCCCGGACCATACCTGGACCCGGGTCTGGAACCAGCCCGGACCGAGCGGACCCAGCCCAGATCTGGACCCAGGCGAGCGGCTCCAGGCAGCGCGGTAAGGGGCGCTGACCAGCCCACACCTCTCGCTGCACCTTCAGGGCAAAGTCAGGACCTTCCGCAGAGAAGATGACGCTCCATGTGTGGGATCCCGGGAGCCCGGCCGCAGGCCGGCTGAGCTCCATGTGCGGGATCCCAGGAGCCCGGCCGCGGGCTGGCTGAGCTCCGCGTGCGGGAT